CTGTGTGTCACTAAGAATAATTTTACTTTGATTTTATAATTAAAACAGTATGACTGCTTGTGTGTGTGCGCGCGCACGCGCGTGTATAGTATACGTATGTATGATTTTCAAGTTTATGTCTATCTAATGTACCGTGACTAATTTTTTTTGATATTACAGTGAGGTGGTCTAAAAATGTATTTAAAGTGAGACCATAAATATTTTAGAAGAAATAAATTTGGAGAGTACACTGCGATTTAAAACTTTTATTTTAAAATATAAATACAGAGAAATATTCTCAAATCAGGCATGAGAAAAAAGAAAAATATAGGGAAATATATACTTTCCTAGATACAAAAGTATTTTATATAGAGATTTTATATAAAGATGCTAAATGAAGATTTTTATAGATTTTAGATAAGGATTTTATAGATTATAGTAAGAATAGAGTATGACAACATCTTAGTTTTAAAAATATTTTTTTCTCTTAGAATTTGGCATATAAGAGTTTAAAATGTAAGGACTAAGACTTACTAGAAGATGTTATATAATTTATAAAATTAGAAGAAAAAATTTCAAGTTTCAGTTAACATTCACCCAAAAATAATGGTTCTGAATTTAAAATTTAATTTTACTACAGGTATCAAAAGTTTTACTGAACTACAAGCAAAGAGGGAAAATTCCTGATTCAAAAAAATCAACAAAACTTTATAATTCTTCACAATCACATGATTACACATGTAGATACATACCATACGCCTGTGAACTTATACTTAATAAACACTAATAAAGATATCAATTATATTACCCAATATTTTACTGTTTGAATTTATTTTCTCGATTTCTCATTTATGCAAGGTACAAACACACACAATTTGAGTAGCATAGTATTACATGAGATTCTTTAGATAGTAGTAAATTTAATTCTATTCTAAATTATCTGGTGCCTTATCTTTTAAAAATATTTGAAATCTCAAACTGTCAATTATACAGAATATGAAAATAGAGTATAACTCAAAATTTTGATATCTTGTTCAATTTTAAGAATTCATGAAAGATAACCAAGATTCAAATCTGTAAAAGTTTCATGACATAAATGTTAAATTAATATTTTAAATTGCTATTTTCTCCATAATACAGTTATGACAGAAAAATACAAAATAATAATAAAATTAAGCTCAGTTAAAACTGCTTTATAACATGTTAACAGTATCTAAATAAATAATATTTACATTAAATCAAAAAAGCAGCATACCACACACCAAAGTTGATTTATCACTTCAGTTTCCCAGAATAACCAAGAATGTAAAAAGCAGCTAACTGCAGGAAGATTTGAGGGTCATTTCAAGAACACAGAAAAAAAAACTCCATTTTCAGAGCAAAAGAAACTTGGCTATAAATGAATTCAAATGATATATTATGAGAAGTTATTCTGGAAGATTAATATCAACTTGTTATTTAAGTATTCTTTTCCCATTATCACTAACATTAGCACTGCTAGAAATATAATGAAGATCACATTTCTTAGAAAACATTTTCCCAAAACGCCGCCGGGATTTCTTCACCCGGCCCTTCCCTACCTCTGGGCGAGGGACCCGAGATCCCTTCTGCACGCTCGGCTTCGCGGTGTCGCGGCGGGCGCCGACGTGTCCGAAGCGATTCTGGTACCATCTTGAAATTGGCGGAGGGAAGCAGGACGAGAGAGACGCACTCATCGGCGAGGAAGGCAGGCCCCGTCCGGGGATCTTGGAAACCCTGCGGACCATCATGAAGTTCCAGTATCAGGAGGACCATCCCTTCGAATATCGGAAAAAGGAAGGAGAAAAGATCCGGAAGGAATATCCGGACAGGGTCCCTGTGATCGTGGAGAAGGCTCCGAGAGCCAGGGTGCCTGATCTGGACAAGCGGAAGTACCTAGTGCCCTCTGACCTCCCTGTTGGCCAGTTCGACTTCTTAATCCGGAAGAGGAGCCACCTGAGACCTGAGGACGCCTTATTTTTCTTTGTCAACAACACTACCCCTCCCACTAGTGCTGCGATGGGCCAGCTGTATGAGGACAACCATGAGGAAGACTATTTTCTGCATGTGGCCTACAGTGATGAGAGTCTATGGGAAGTGATTGGTGGAAGCCCAGCAGATGGGAGCACCTGGACTTGGGAGTAGGGGAGGGGTGTGTGTGGGACTTGGGGAAAGAGGAGGAGGCTCCCCACCGTGGAAGAGACAGAAGTGAAGACGTGAAAACATTACACCGCACACACTCATCACATTTTCACATGCTCAATCCATATTTTTTGCTGCTTCCTCGGCCCAGGGATAAAGCATGTCAGGACAGAGCTGTTGGATTGGCTTTGATAGAGGAAGGAGAATGACATAATTTCACAGCATTCCTGAGAATGATTTTTTGTATGATTTCATACAGGGATAAGGTGGTGGGCAACTTGGAGCCAGAGATGACTGCAGTCCAACAGCAACTCCCTGCTCTTCCTGTCATTGAAGCATTGTGCCCTGGTCTCCCCTGTCTCCCTCCCATCCCATTCAGTCTCACACACAAATGTCACAGTACCACCCCCGGGGTGGTAATAGACATGGACACAGAAGTTTAGCTTTCATATCTTGGGAAAATGGGGATCAGGCACTAAGGCAGGTATGATTTCAAAGATAGTTTTAATAGCATTAAACTGGAATTGATGGAGTGTTGACCTGTTGTCTCTCTCTCTGCCCCTTATTCCACACCTACCTTGAATTTAATGAGCCTCAGGCATTTCCAGTTACAGACTGAAACCACTCTTCTGGCATTTTCCATGTGTCTGGACAGAGATGTCTTAGGTAGGGAAGGGGCAGGTATGAAGTCAGATAGATAATCCACACCTTCCACTCATCCAGAATCTCACTCCTATGTTGCCTCACTGCAGTCTCACATGCACAGGAATGCTACTTGATGGCCAGTTACTTCCCTCCTCGGTTATCATCTGCTGCAGCTGCTAGGTAGAACAGTTTGGAGGGATACTTTTAGTAATTCATGGGGATTTTACTGATTTATTTTCACTTTTGGGTTTCTATGGGGTGGGAGTGGGGAACAGGAATTACACTCAGACATGACATTTCAATTCATTTCTGCTAATGGAAATGTCCTTGGGAGAAATCTGTGTGTCAGTTCTGTCAGCTGCAGGTTCTTGTATAATGAAGTCAATGCCATCAGGTCAAGGAAATAAAATAATTGCTTACTTTAAAATTTAAAAAAAAAAAAAGAAAATACTTTCCTAAAAGCTTAATCTAATAAAAATTATTGAACCATAGGAATTTTGACTCCCAATAAATTATCATCTATATT